GGTCAGATGAGAGGTGATAGATTTTCAGGAGGTTATAGATTCCAGAGGCAGGGAGATGCTGGAAGAGGAAGTGTTCATTTGTGTCGCAGATGTAATAATAGGCATTTTGGAGAGTGTAGACAAGGCAGCAGTGAATGTTTTACTTGTGGACAGATGGGACATAGAGCTATAAATTGTCCCCAAAATTAGCAGAGGCCCCAGCAGCCTTCTATGCCATCACCAGCGTTGGGCCAGCAAGTTTCAGGGTTTGGTAGTTATGATCAGATGGGTCGAGGTGGTGCTTACCATTATCAGGGTGATGCCACTCCTTATGCTCCAGGACCATATCAGTATTCGTAGGATCCTTATTACCAGAATGGGTATTCTCAGTATCTTAGAGGGTATACACAGTATCCTTCTATTCTAGCTATTGGATCTCAATGGTACCAGAGATGACAGCCCCAGCAAGTAGAGATTGCTTTCAGTAGTGTAGGATCTTCAAGGCAATCCGGTCAGCCAAGTTAGGGGCGAGGTAATCAAGTTAATAGAGGTCGTGGGGGATGACAACAAGCCCATGGACGTATTAACAATATATCTTTGCAAGATGCTTAGAATCATCCGGACTTGATCATGGGTACGTTAAATATTCTTGGTCACTTTGCTAGAGTTTTAATTGATTATGGCGCTACACATTCTGTCATTTCTCATACATTTGCTCAAGTGACGCAACCTCATCCTACACCTCTAGGGTATGATTTAGAGTTTGCTATGCCTAGAGGGGAGAGATGTTATGTTGATTGTGTATATCCAGGATATCCAGTGATGGTGGATGAGGTAGTTATGCCAGCTAATCTTATCCCGTTAGATATTGTTGATTTTGATGTGATTTTAGGCACAAATTGGTTGCATTATAATCGTGCCAACATAAATTGATACGGGAAAACAGTCACTTTCCATCGTCCTGGATTACCTGAAGTTACTTTTATGGGTGAATGTAGTGGGGTGAGGCATGGTGTTATTTCTGCTGTAAGAGCAAAAAGGTTGTTATCAAAAGATTGTCAGGGATATTTAGCTCTTGTAGTGCTGAATGGTGTTACTTCTAGTAGTGTGGAGGATGTTCGAGTAGTCGGCATTTTCCTGATGTATTCCCTGATGATTTACATGGATTGCCGCCAGACCGAGATGTGGAGTTCACTATTGATTTGCTTCCAGGTATGGATCATATATCTTTGACTCCATATAGAATGGCTCCTGTTGAATTGAGGGAATTGAAATTTCAGTTGCAGGAATTAGTTGATAAAGGTTTTATTCAGCCTAGTACTTCACCCTGGGGAGCTCCAGTTTTGTTTGTAATGAAGAAAGAAGGAACTTTGAGGCTATGTTTTGATTATAGGTAATTAAATCGGGTAACAATTAAAAACCGTTATCCGTTGCCATGTATAGATGATTTGTTTGATCAGCTTCGAGGTGCCTGTGTGTTTTCTAAAATTGATTTGAGATCTAGTTATTACCAGTTGAAGATCAGCAGTGAGGATGTTCCTAAGACTACTTTCAGGACTCGTTATGGTCATTATAAGTTTCTTGGGATGCCATTCGGATTAACGAATGCGCCAGCAGCTTTCATGGATTTGATGAATCGAGTATTCCAGCCATATATAGACAGGTTTGTCATTGTTTTTATTGATGACATTCTGGTATACTCTAAGTCTAAATCAGAGCATGTTCGACATTTTACCTTGGTGTTGAAGAAATTAAGGGAACATTAACTGTATGCTAAGTTTAGCAAGTGCCAATTTTGGTTAAATCAAGTAGCATCTTTGGGATATGTCATTTTTGCTCAAGGTATTCAGGTGGATTCTCAGAAAATGGCAGTTGTGGAGAATTGGGAACAACCACGAACCGTCACTGAAGTACGGAGTTTTCTTGGCCTAGCAGGCTATTATAGACGGTTTGTTAAGGATTTTTCAGTCATTGCTTTGCCATTAACGAGGTTGACTAGAAAAGAAGTTAAGTTTGAATGGGATAATAATTGTGAGCAAAGTTTTCAACAGTTGAAGTATTATCTCACTCATGCACCTGTTTTGGCACTTCCAGATGATAATGGTAATTTTGTGGTCTACAGTGATGCTTCATTAAATGGTATGTGTTGTGTGTTGATGCAACATGGTAGGGTGATTGCTTATGCTTTACGACAATTAAAGCCTCATGAGATGAATTATCCTACTCATGATATGAAGTTAGCAGCTATCATATTCGCTTTGAAGATTTGGAGACATTATCTCTACGGAGAGAAATGTAAAATCTTCAAAGATCATAAGAGTCTTCAGTATCTTTTTACTCAGAGGGATCTTAATCTTCGGCAACGAATGTGGATTGAGTTGCTTAGTGATTATGATTGCACGATTGAGTATCACCTTGGTCGTGCGAATGTGGTGGCGGATGCACTTAGTAGGAAAACTCCAGTTAGACTTAATGCCATTTATGATTGTCATGTTCCTCTTCTTGCGGATTTAAGGTCCACTGGAGTGAAGTTATAAGTGGAAAATCGAGAGGAAGCCTTGCTTGCAAATTTTCAAGTCATGTCAATTTTAATTGATCGTATACTTGAAGCCCAGATGAATGATGAAGAGACCCAGAAAATAATTCAAACAAGGAATCGAGGGAAGAAGAAAAACTTCAGAATTCGAGAAACTGATGGCATGCTTATGCAGGAGAGTAGGATGTATGTGTCGAATAATATGGAATTAAAGAAAGCAATTCTTGATGAAGCATATATTTCAGCTTATGCAATGCATCCAGGAGGTACAAAAATGTATCATACCATTTGACCATTTTATTATTGGCTAGGTATAAAACGAGAAATTGCTGAATATGTGAGTAAGTGTGTCATTTGTCAGCAAGTCAAAGCAGAAAGAAAGAAGCTTTTTGGATTGATGCACCCACTTCTCGTTCCACAGTGGAAATGGGAAAATATTACTATGGATTTTGTGTACAAGCTTCCTCGTACACATAATGGTTATTATGGCATCTGGGTGATAGTTGATCGGCTTACTAAGTCAGCACATTTTATTCCCGTGAATGAGAAATATCCTTTAAGCCGATTAGCTAAATTGTTCATATCGAAGATCGTGAAGTACCATGGGATTCCAATTAGTATTATCTCGAATTGGGATCCTAGATTTGCTTCTAAATTCTAGATAGCATTCCAGGAAGCTCTTGGTTCGAGATTACTTTATAGTACAACATATCATCCTCAAACAGATGGACAATCAGAGAAGACTATTCAGACGTTGGAAGATATGCTGAGATCTTCAGTATTATAGTTTGGTGACGTTTGGCATAAGCGGTTGGATTTAATGGAATTTGCCTACAACAACAGCTTTCATTTAAGTATTGGTATGTCACCATTTGAAGCACTTTATGCTAAATCTTGTCGTACACCCTTATGTTGGTCAGAGGTTGGAGAAAGAATTTTGATGGGCCCTGAGATCGTGGATGAGACTACGCAAAATTTTCAGGTGATTAAGTCTAACCTGAAAGTGGCCCAGGATAGATAGAAGAGTCTAGCAGACAGACATGCCACTGACCGGATGTATAATGTAGGTGATTGGGTGTTTCTGAAGCTATCACCATGGAGAGGTGTTGTACGATTTGGAAAGAAAGGCAAGTTGAGTACTAGGTATATTAGACCATATATGATCACCAAGCGAGTCGGTGAAGTTGCTTACAGGCTTGAGTTGCCTCCAGAGTTGTCCAAAGTGCAAGATGTTTTTCATGTCTCTATGCTTCGTCATTAGTTTTTCAATTACTTTTGGAATCCTCTCTTTTTTTGGTTTAGACTCTTTCTGTTATGTTGATGGATTCTTGACACCTGCAATATAGCTGACTGATGGCTACGTCACCTTCATGTGACGGCCAGCATGACGTGCATTTAGGTCGGGGTGTGTCAGTCTAAGCCATTAAGAATCAATTAGAAAACACCCCTAAGGACTTACTAACTCGAGTTGAAATGGCTACGAAACCAACTAACCACCCTGCCCCATGCCGAAACTCTACCGTTTCTTGCGAGAATCACTGCTGATTAGGCAGAACTGACCCAGTTACTAAGCAAACCCTCATGTGGAACAATTATTACTTTATTTATGATAATAACTAACTTTACTTTACTTGGAACAAATATTAGAAATGAACTTAGTTCTAAGTGTTTAAATCTCACTTCCCACAAATCATGTTGATGTGAATGTGCAAATTTTCAAAGTATAACCCATGAATTAGTGTCTCAGCAACCCCGTAAAATTTAAATGACCGGTTATGGGTATTACCCGCGGTTATAAACGGGTACCCATTTAACCTTTTATGTTAATATATGTAAAATTAGAAAGATCTCATCGATTCGTTGTCAAATATGACAGTGTTTAATGGTAGAAAAATAAAATTATGACAAATTTCTTTTTTAATTTTCAAGTTTTTATAAAAACATGTACGGGTAAAAAAAGGGTAAACATGTATATGTGGTTATGGTTAAATGGGTGAGCGATTGTGAGTATGATTAACCGTTTATAATCGGTTATGGATATAATCGTTTATGTAATTATCCAAAGGGTAAACGATTATGCGGGTAAGAGATTAAATGGTTATGGGTAAATAACCGCTGTTACCCGCCGACTATAAGTATTGCCCATCCCTACCTGGAATTGGGGAAAGGGGCTGGAAACAAAATAATGGCTTTAATCATTTATGTAATTACTCAAAGGGTAAACGGTTATGCGGGTAAGAGATTAAACGGTTATGGATAAATAACCGCTGTTACCCGCCTACCATAGTAAGGTACAAAAGTGCCAGGCGGTGGGATAGAACTCGTGACCTGGAATAAAAACCCAAGAGTGCTGCGGGCCGAATTTGAACCCGTGACCTGGTGGAACAGCGTGAGGCGCTGAACCTTGCACGTGCAGGAACACTCGTGTGAAAACCCTAACACCTGGAGCTATATAAGCTGACTTATCAGCTTCGTCCTCCATTTCCAATCCCCGCTGCCGTTGCCCTCTCTCTCAACTTTTGCGGACCTCGAGCCCAGCACCATGAGTGCACTCCTGCATCATTTCTCCAGAAACTGAAACCCTAGCTTCACCTCAGTCAAAAACTTGAGACCCTTCCCATTCACTTTTTAGCCGTGCCACCATAGCCATTTTGTCCAAAATCGTATCTCATCTTCAAGCTACAACCTGTAACCCCCAAACTTCGAATTTGAGAAATGAAACCCAGAACTTCGAAGCCATATCCGCAGCCCCATCTCACCGATTCTCCAAAAAAATAATAAAATAATAATAATAATAATAATAATAAAAAGAGTACACGATCTTTCATTGGTTCACTATATGTCTCAGTGCTTTATTTATTCTGAAAAAGACTCTGGACTCCTCATGCATGTGAGTTGGGTTTGGTGCAGATCCCATTCGTGGTTAGAAGAAGATGCGCAGAGACAGAATTGGCACGGGTGCACAAATCCAAAGGGAATCAAGCAGCATACATCTCAAAATCCTCACGGTCAGAATTACAGGTATAGGTTTCAACCGCGAAAACTTATTTTTTTCGATATACATCTGTTGAACATATTCCTTGGATTTGTGATTCAGTTTTTGGTGCATGCATCCCAGATTTGTGCTAGGAGTTGAATCAGTTTCTCTGCATCCAAATGGATCCTGACAGTTTCCATTATACTCATGTATTTTTTTCTCTTTTGTATGCATGCTGCCCTGAATAAATGTGATGAATCTTGAGCTAAACGTTGCACCAAATGGATCCTGTGCTCCCTTCTGTGTTGTTTGGATCCCACCCCCAAACTTGTATGTAATAATATTTTAAATATAATGCGAGGGAGTGGTTGAGTGAGATGGAGTGCCAAGCAATGCAAAAAGGGCTTCATCACCAACCCCACTGTAAGTATTTTTGGAACTTTTTCTGCATTGGATTAATTTCTGCACTTTGCGTTGATGATGAATATTGTCCTCACACTTTCACACCCATCAAAGAAGAATCAAAGTAAGACACAATTATGTTTTTGTCATGAACATCAAAACATGAATGTTGTTTTCAAATATCAAATGCAAAAACCATGAATAAATGTGATATTTCACAAATGCGAGATTTTTGTGATCAAACATCAAATGAATATGAAGTAATAATAAATGTGTAGTTAATAATCACAAACATCAAATGAATATGGATGAATAATATGAACAAGCCAAATGGTAGTTATAACAGGTTATGGGGTTAGGATTTCCTCCCATCACCTGCTGATTTCGGTAAAATAATGCAAGAACTACACACAAGGAGCTACCAATCATTAGCCCCAATTGCTCACCAACATTAAATTCACCATTAACCAACTTTGTTTTAGCAAGAAATACTATCAAAACAAATATTATGCCCACAACCATATCGGCAACCCCAAGCACAGTTGTAGATTTGGTGATCCAAATAAATGAAATGAAAAGGGCAAAAAATCATGCAAGAATCCAAAGCCAATAGTATAAATCCAAAATGTGGCTACTACGGGCTTTGGATCCTTGCATGATTTTTTGTCCTTTTCATTTCATTTGTTTGCATCGCCAAACCTACCACTGTACTTGGGGTTACCGATATGCTTGTGGGCATACTATCTGTTTTGATAGTATTTTGGGCCAAAACGAAGTTGGTCAGTTGTGGATTTAATGTTGGTGAGCAATTGGGGCTAATAATTGGCAACTCGTTATGTCTAGTTCTTGTCGAATTGTACTGAAATCAATATGAGCAAGTGATGGGAGGAAATCCTAACCCCATAACTTGTTATGGTTGGTTGTCTATGAAAGTAACCACCATTTGGCTTATTCATTTGATGTTTGTGATTATTAACTAAACATTTATTTTTCGTTCATATTCATTTGATGTTTGATGACAAAAATCTTGCATTTGTGAAATGTCACATCTATTCATGTTTTTTGCATATGATATTCATAGGTGAAAACAACATTCATGTTTTGATGTTCATGACAAAAACATAGTTGTGTCTTCCTTTGCTTCTTCTTTGATGTTGAGTGTGAAGGGCAATATGGAAAGGCTTTTTAGCCAAAATTGTCCCTGAGATGAGATTTGCATAACTCTTCATGATTGTTCTTGAAGCAGTCAACTTGATAGTGATCTGACTTACTGTGCCACCCTATTTTCCTTATTACGTGGCTCAAATACGACCTATTATTAACTTCACGGTTCTTTATCATAACCTATGCTTCTTTCTGTTTCTGTCAAGTAATGTGAGGTAAACGAAAACCATATGATATAGGCTTCGTGATGAAATCGATGGCAGTAATTTCTCTGATGAGATTTGAAATTGAATTGGGCATGAACGAACTCAGGTTGATCTAACCAAATTGCACCTCAAGTATGCAAAATGCAAGGGCTTGCAAGCCAGGGCCTTTTTACTTGGAATGGTATGGGCCTGAAGATTTAACTTGTAAACAGTTATTGGTCCTCACCTTTAGGTGGATAGTACTGATTTGTGACTCAAGTAGTTCGGGATTTGCCCCGTGTTCGATCATCCCTATTTCCAACTGATATGACTTGTATAAACAAATGTAGTAACAGTCAAATTAGTTGGAACATGATGCTTTCGTTTTATATACCTAAGTTCGAATTCAAGTCCGAGTGATTTATATTAAAAAGTATTTGAGGAAATTATATTTTATCTATACCATATTGTAACACATCTCTATAAATGTGATGCCTATGACATGTTCACTCACCTTTTAATCCCAACTCTAAAAATCAAAGCTGGTATAAAAGATCAAATATGGCCTTGACTTCAGGAAATTGTTCTACGCATGCATGCATTTACAATTCTCTACAAAATATTAAACGCTTTCCTTTTATACGTCTTAATTGTAAGGAAAATTAATGAAAAGGGTTTGAAAAAATTTAGTTTTAATAAAAAACCATGTTATAAGTTTTGTTTAACAATTAGTGCAAGGCCCATATTAAAATAGTCTAACTAAAAATGGCCAAACTATAATAAATTATGATTTGTTGATTTTACCCCTAATTTTTTAAGGTCGAGTTCCAAATTTTCGTCGTTAATGGAGTTCATCGATGTTTTGCAGACCTTCTCCTTTTTCTTTGAAACAAAAATATAGATCCTCATGCTATTTAATTTATATTTTGTATTATTTCGTTGAAATGTGATCGTTGTTATTATTCATAGTGTATTCGAGGTATTGTTTTTTAATTTTTCATCGTCTGTGGAGTTCATCGTTTGTTTCTGCAGAAAATAAATTTGAGATTTACATGCTATTCAATAATAACGACGGGTCATTGTTTTTGGACTATAAAAATAAATTGTTTTTGGATTTTAAGTAACACTGTTTCTGGAATCTAAGTCACTGTTTTTAGATCCAAATGAAATAGACACTATTTCTGAAATGTAAGCTAGAAAAGAAATAGTGAAATTTATTGTATTTAGATTCAAAGTAAAATAAGAACCTTGTTTATTAAATGTAATCAACTGATGTATGAAAGAAAAGAAACAATCAAAGGTTAAAACATAGACTGTTTCTGGAACTAAGTCACTGTTTTTGAAATTTAAGTCACTATTTTTGGATTTTGATTCTTTTCTTTTCAGATACAATGTTTGTTTGTGCACAGACAAAACAAACATTGTATCTGTTTTTTTTTTTCCAGACACTTTCGCTGGTTTCTGCCATTAAACTTCTTTGAACTTGTTTTGGCGACTTTGTTCCGATGAATGCTTCATTTTTCAACTTTGATTTCAACTTTGATTTGGTTGTTTTTGAAATGGGAGAATTCGATTTGATAGGAAGACAAGGAGTTATTATGGCGATCTCGTGCTGGGTTGAGGTTGGTGAAGAGTGAAGACAATATCAAATCATTTAGGGGTATTTGCGGAAGTGTAGATTTGTAGTGGGTTGGGCTTGTAAGTTTGTCTCGTAGACAATAGTTTTGGATGATTTTTTATTAAACTTTGAGCCATTTTGGTTAAATAACATTTTGGGATGATTTTTGGTTAAATATTTGTTGGCCCAAACCTTTTTCATTAAAGCTCCCTAAATTAAATGGCTAAATGGATACCCGTTATAACCGCGGGTAATACCCATAACCGCCCATTTTAAATTTAACAGATAAACGGTTATACCCATAACCATTTGTTCGTCTAAACAACCGTGAACTTTAAATGGGCAGGTAACCGCGGTAACCCATGAGTATTTTGTCCATTCCTAACCAGTAGTAGCCACATTTTGGATCTATATTTTCTGTTGGTCTTGATCTCTACCTCCAACAGCAAATAGATCCAAAATATGGCTACTACTGCCTTTGGATGATCATGTTTTGCTTTTGCCCCTTTCATTTTAGTTGTTTGGATCGCCAAACCTACCACTGTTTTTGGGGTTGCCGATAAGCTTGTGGGCATACTATCTGTTTTGATAGTATTTCGGACCAAAACGAAGTTGGTCACTGGTGGATTTAATGTTGCTGAGCAATTGGGCCTAATGATTGGCAGCTCCTTGTGTGTAGTTCTTATCGAATTCTACTGAAATCAATATGAGCAAGTGATGGGAGGAAATCCTAACCCTATAGCCTGTTATGGTTGGTTGTCTATGAAAGTCATTCAGAACTATTTCAACAGGTGCAGGGCGAATGCTAATGCTGCTAATCCCAGCAATAATGGAACGAATAAGGAAGCAAGGGATGATGCTGGACAATGCGAGGAGGCCAATGATCGAAACAACAATCAAGAGATGCTGCTGTTTGATTTGTAGTTAATTTATTTCCTTGTGGAATATTTTATGATGTGCTTTTACTTTCTCTGTTTTGTTTGTTCTTCTAATATTATCTGTGTCATTTGGAGAAATGAGTCCAAATTTTTAATACCAAAAACGTCATATCATATCATCAGCTAGAAATATAGCTGCGAATGGTCCCCAAATGCCTTCATTAAGTAAGACCAAGTTCAATCCCAAATCAATAGCAAATTTTCAACTTTTGTTCTTAAAGCATCAACTCAGCAGTCAACTTGATAGTGATCTGACTTACTGTGCCACCCTCTTTTCCTTATCACGTGGCTCAAACACAACCTATTATTAACTTCACGATTCTTCTTCCCATTGATATTATGTACTAATATTAACTTCATGGTTGTTCTTTATCATAACCTATACTTCTTTCTGTTTTCGTCAAGTAATGTGAGGTAATCGAAAACCATATAATATTGACTCCGTGATGAACTCGATGACAGTAATTTCTCTTATGGGATTTGAAATTAAATTGGACATGGATGAATTCAGGTTGATCCAAATTAAATTGCACCTCTAGTACGCAAAATGCAAGGGCTTGCAAGCCAGTGCCTTTTTACTTGGACTGGTATGGGCCTGAAGACTTAACTTTTAAATAGTTATTGGTCCTCATCTTTGATTAGGTGGATAGTGCTGATTTGTAACTCAAGTAGTTCGCGATTTGCTCCGGTTACGTGTTCGATCAACCCTATTTCCAACATATATGACTTGTATAACAAATGTAGTAATAGTCAAATTAGTTAGAACATGATGCTTTCGTTTTTTATACCTAAGTTCGAATTCAAGTCCGAGTAATTTATATTAAAAAGCATTTGAGGAAATCATATTTTATCCATACCATGTGATGCTTATGACATGTTCACTCACCTTCTAATCCTAAAAATCAAAGCTTGTATAAAAGATCAAATATGGCCTTGACTTCAGGAAATTGTTCTACGCATGCATGCATTTACAATGCGCTACAAAATATTAAACTCTTACCTTTTAGACTTGTTAATTGTATTGCTTGATTATTCTTCGAGATTTCATTATCTGAAAACCAATAAAAAGCATCTAATAATTATAATTAATCAAAATTTATTTGGAGCTGTTGTTAAATTTGCCAATTATCTGTTCTATCAATCTACGTCTTGACTTAGAATTTGGTATTTATATAGAAAAACACTAGTATTATCTTTTTTACTGTTATTACTGTTGTAGGCATTTTGACATCTTTCTTAAAAATGCTATTACGAGGAAAATGAGTAATGAAGTTTTAATGCAGAATTGATCCTACCGAAATTTTCAAACTTTCTTTTTCTAGGTACAAATTAAACACTTGATGTTTATAGTTTGTGTAAAATTTTCCAACAAAATTTCCAAAACTAGTAATAAAGTTAATAGTACGGCATGACTGTTATTTTCTTTTAACACATTCGCACGTACTTGCTGGGAAAGAGCGGGAAAGGTGAGCTCATCTGCAGGCCCCCCAAGAATAACAGGATTGCGTTACTCGACCAGTGACAAGTCTCCACGTAGTGAGTGTTCACTGCCTCAGCAGCCCTATAAATACTCGACGATCCCAACTCATTTCTTTTGTGTAGCGATTAAGGAAGAGAAGGGAGGAGCATCGGATCAAGGCGGTGGAGTCGTTGGTCGTCCCTAAAGTCAAAAGGTTAGAGCTTTGAACCTGACCACCTTAATTAATCTCACAATTAAGTATGTAATTTGTTTTAATTATGTATCCCTTGGATGTTCTTGTAGTTGAATGTTTCAAACATTTGTTTGGTTAATGAGAAATTGTGAAGGGAAGTAAATAGAATTTGAGAAAGGTCAGATCTTTTGTTTTGAAACCCGATTAGTCAGATTTTTTGTTGAGAAAGATGAGATCTTTAGTAAATTAATTTGGGAATTTTGATGGATTTGGGCGATAGATTAGCTTAATGAAGTTTGTTTAAATGATCATTAATCTGTCCACGCATTGCGGATTAATTTTGAGTGGATGCTCATAGTTTGATAGTTATCATCGTAAATAATTGTTCACTTCATATTTTATGACTTCATTTTCGCGAATTATTTCCTGTTAATTCTTAGTTAAAAACTCTCTGATTGATTATTTGCTTTCCTAAATCATGTTTTTGGTCCTGCTTGTTCCTTTGGCAGACCTAATTGAGTTGTCATGTATCCGCAATCAGCTGCCCTGCCTGCTGATATCAGCTTACAGTGTACCGATGAGGAGCTCTGTGTGTCCTTAGAGAAAATACAGGACGGATCCCCGCTTCCTGGAAATGTGATTCGAGATGTAAATCCTTACCGATGCGCGCCCTCGAATTTACCCGGTTATTTTTCGTGCCTTTCAAATGGATGTAAATGTAATGAAGTTGATTAACTGAGTCATATTGGGATAATATCGATGTGATTAGTAGTAATCTACGACTCTGCTAGTCTGTCTCTCTAAAGCTTAACAGTTTTAGTCTTATGCAGATGGTTTTTGGTACTTCATTCGCTCGAGTGAGAGCAACCCTACAAATATTGGGCAGTGGAGAGCCAAAGGGGAGGCCAGTAGAATATTCTCAAACTCCTCCATCTATGGTTGGAGAGCTACACTTGAATTCTATCGAGGCCAAGCCCCTCATGAAACTAAAACCAATTGGGTGATGCAAGAATACTGGATAACTCAGAAGAAATCGTCGGAAAGCAGCAAATTGAAGGTAATCGATTGGAGTCTGCCAATCATGTATATTACATTGCCTGATTTGTTCTACATATTTTGTTTCTCTGCCCAAGCTGCCAGTTCACTGCCAGTTTGGTTAGATAAATGTGCAGGATGTCGGGTCGCTTTGCAGAGTCTTTCTTAGGGATGATGAAACACCAAACTCCAATAAGCTTCAGGAATTGGTGAATTCTGATAGGGCTATTCACTCAACACATTCAGTTGTTCCGCGTGTTGAGGATCGTGGTTCCACCAGCAAGCCTCGTGTTGAAAATGTACACTTTGTTTGGAAAAACATTATTTGCTACTAGCTTTTATGATGCATATATCGTTTGATCATTGCTCTGATGGGATGTCGTGATTTCTTTGTTATATTGTAGGAGGCAAGCAATGATCGCGAAACGGGAACATTGGTAGTTACAGAAAGGCTTCCAGTTCGAGATGATAATGTGCAAATTATGCACGAGAATGATTACCTTTCGAGAGGCGACTACTTGGAATTGCTGGATCTTGACACACCAGCATCTCATTCATTTAGTTCAGTTTCGAGTTGCTTGACAATGTCCTCGGACGAATGCTTCGATTCTCTGGCATTGTTGGAAGAACTAGAGCCTAAAAGTAAGCAAGAATTGGTGACGAACAACAATAAGTTGGTCGTGTTTGCATCCTCTTCAGGTACATAAAAAAATAATGCCGCTTAATTTTGGTGAACAATAATAATCATTCTATATGAAGAACCCTAAAATTACTCTCTTTTTTTATTTTTGTTAATAGGATCTTTCGACAAGTCTCGCGACAAAGAAAGAATCAGAAATCGTTCTCCGAATCCTGGCTCATCTGTTTGTGCCAAGATTGTCACAGAAAATAGTTCAAAAAATGCGAGCAGAAAACAAAAATCAGACGATAGGAATGAAGGGCCATCAAATTCTCAGAATGCTAATGTTGGTGGAACCAAAAAGCTTAAGAGGAAGAAGTATTTCTGCTTCATGCCGTTTTAGGTCATCTGTTTTCATTCTACACGTGTGTATTTATGTATATTAACGAATTTGAGTAGCAAATAATCAACATCATACTTAGACATTTTTTGTATTGTTCAAATGAATCATTTTGGAAATTTTTTTGTAGAATCTTTTTTCTACTATTGTCTGCTTTATTACACTAAACATGGTAAATACCATATTAAACTAAGTATGGTAAATACCAAAAATATATATGACAATATTTGGGAATTTCTTATCTATTCATTAATCTCCAAAGTGGAGTATATATAGGAGTTACAATTGGTATTACATATGTACTTCACCAATGTGGGACAATAAACTACTATTTACACTTTAACTAATATATAACTCGCAACACTCCCCCCTCAAGTTGGTGCAAAGATGTCACGCATGCCCAACTTGTCAAGCGAGTTGGAAAACACTCTATTAGACACAGCCTTAGTAAGAGCATCAGCAAGTTGATCTTCATATCTCACAAACAGAAACATAATAATTCCAGCATCCAATTTTTCCTTAATGAAATGTCAATCAATCTCCACATGTTTTGTTCGATCATGTTGCACTGGATTATGAGCAATCTCAATAGCAACCTTGTTATCACAATGAAGTTTCATAGCACCTTTGGGTTTAAACCCAAGATCTCTCAACAATTTTTTCAACCACAACAACTCACATACACCATGAGACATACCACGAAACTCAACTTCTGCACTTGACCTAGCCACCACTTTTTGTTTCTTGATTCTCCAAGTAACTAAATTACTACCCACAAACGTAAAGTATATAGATGTAGATCGCCAATCAGTGATAGAACCTGCCCAATCTGCATCTGTATACCCTTTGACATTCAAATGACCATTCTTGGATAAAACCAGGCATTTGCCAGGAGCCATCTTTAAGTATCTCAAAATACGGGTTACTGCATCCATATGAGCTTCACTAGGTGAGTGCATAAACTGACTTACCACACTAACTGCATAAGCAATGTCAGGGTGAGTATAAGACAAATAAATTAATCTCCTCACAAGCCTCTAATATTGTTCCTTATGAGTAGGAACTTGATCTATAAATAAGGTCAGACGATGATTCTGCTCAATCGGAGTATCAACAGGTTTGCAATCTAACATACATGTTTCAGCTAACAAATCAAGAACATATTTTCGTTGAGACAGAAAAATTCCATGCTTGGATCGTGCAACCTCGATTCCAAGAAAATACTTTAATTCACCCAATTCTTTCATCTCAAACTCAGTAGCTATGTACTTTTGAAGGCGTTGTATCTCATTATGATCATCACCGGTCACTATCATGTCATCAACATAAATAATCAATGCAGTTAGCTTACCATTTTGTCGCTTTAGAAACAAAGTATGATCTGAATGACTCTGGATATACCAAAACTTCTTCATTGAACTTGTAAACCTCCCAAACCACGCTAGGAGATTGTTTCAAACCATACAAGGCCTTTCGTAACCTGCATACAACACTTTTTCCAGGAGATGTTCTAATACCAGGTGAGATATACATATACACTTCCTCCTTAAGATCACCATGAAGGAAAGCATTCTTAACATCAAACTGCAACAGAGGCCAATCCTGATTTGCTGCTAATGACAGAAAAACACGCACAATATTAAGTTTGGCAACAGGAGCAAAAGTCTCATGATAGTCCACCCCATAGGTTTGAGTATAACCCTTAGCAACTAATCTGACTTTATACCGGTAAAAAAACCATCTGCTTTGTGCTTAATAGTAAACACCCATCTACATCAAACGGCTTTCTTTCCGTTTGGTAAATGAACCAAATCCCAAGTAGAATTCTTTTCCAAAGCTTCCATCTCAACTTTCATGGCATTAACCCACTTAGGGTCAGACAAAGCATCATGCAATTTTGTTGGAATTGGTACACTAGATAGCTGACATATGTAAGATGCATATGGTTTGGACAAACGATGAATAGACACATAATTGTTGATAGGATATTTGGCTTTGGCATGCATATCAGGCTCATATTGTACTTTAGGTTTTCCACGTTTAGCTCGTAGAGGCAACTGATAAGTAGAAGAATCGTCATAATTTATCTTATGTATGCCACCATCTTGTACCAAATTGTTAGAAGAATCATCACTAGACGAACCATCATCAGATAACTCGTTAGACATATCAGCACTATGCAACTGATCATCAAAAGGTAATTCGTCAGACATACTAACAGGCAACTCGCTGGGCACATCTGATCTGTTGTCAGTATAAATAGTTCCGAGAATAACAGGTAACCGATCATTATCTGTAGCCGACTGATCAATATCACGCAACATAATATGTTCTGTTCGCAACTCTGCATGTAACACATCATCCATACCATCTCTTCGAATCTGCACTTCACTCCCCATCTCCCCCTGAAGTGGAGAGTCGGAAGAGGGCTTCACAAAATACGAAACTTCTTCATGGAATGTGACATCCATGGTAATATAAGTTTTTTGAGTCGGATGATGATAACACTTATAGCATTTTTAATTGTTAGCATACCCAATAAAGACACACCATAGAGCATGTGCATCAAGTTTACTAAGCTGATGAGAGTAGACATGCACATACGCAATACACCCAAATATTTTCAGAGGAAGCTTTGATATAGAAACAAGATAAACATGTTTTTGTAGCACATCGAACGGTGTCTGAAAATCAAGAACCCTACTTGGAACACGATTGATCAAATACACAGCAGCCAAAATAGCATGACCCCACAAATGATTAGGAACATATTTATCCAACATCAAGGAGTGAGCAACCTCTATTATTTGACGATTCTTCCGTTCGGACACACCATTTTGTTGGGGTGTAAATGGAGTAGTCGTCTGGTGAATAATACCATGATCACGAAAAAAAACATGTCAAAGTGTGATTCACATATTCTCCTCCGTTATCAGACCTGAGACCTGAAGATCTTAACTTTGGTCTGAAACTGAGTAGACACCATTGTACAAAAGTCTTGAATAAGTAACGGAACATCACTCTTATTCTTCATCAAGAACACCCAAGTTAACTGAGTACAATCATCAATAAAAGTAACAAATCAACGGAATCCATTAGAAGTAACTTTCGTCGGACCCCACACATCATAATGTATCAAATCAAATGGCAAAGTAGCTTTAGAATCACTTATGGGAAAGGAAACACGGTGACTCTTAGCCATGACACATGTTTCACACTTGAACTCTGAATCACTACAAGTGCGAAACAAAGAAGGAAATAGATGTTTCATATAATTGAATGATGGATGTCCCAATCGTCGATGCCACAACCAAATTTGATGTCTGTCATCCATTTTAGCACTTAAAACTTGATGATTGTTTGAATAAGAAACAACAGTATCCTCCATAATCAAGATGTACAAACCCGCTATTCTTTTACCATGATCAATTATCTTCTGAGTTTGAATATCTTGAAAATAACAATTCATAGGGTAGAAGTGAGTAGAACAATATAAGGTATCAAGAAGTTTTCCTACCGATAAAAAATTGCACTTAACATCAGGAACAAGTAAAGCACGGACCAGTGATAAGGTTGGAGTCAAAGAGATAGTTCCTTCACCCTTCATAGGTGAACGTGCTCCATTTGCACTAGTAATATACGGATCACGAACATAGTCACATAACTCATCAAACACTATAGGGTCACTAGTCACATGATCAGTGGCCCCAGTATCAATTATCCATTTATTTGTTCCACCAAGATGCATAACAACACTATGATTATATTGAGCCATTGAACAAAATCACAAACAATAAAGGCACAAAAGATACGCAGCGGAATGAAAACAATTTACCAGAACACTGCAGCAAAAGACTGTTCACGGCACTGTAGCAATCAATGTTTACGGCACTGTAGATAACCATTGTTCACACATTATACTGTAGCGCGACATTATTCTTTTTCTTTTCTTTTTTCACAAAGGAAATCACAAAAAATATGGGCACAAAATTAAAGCACACAGGTCACTAAGAGCGAACTGCTCTGATGCCATATTAAACTAAACATGGTAAATACCAAAAATATATATGACAATATTTGAGAATTTCTTATCTATTCATTATTCTTCAAAGTGGATTATGTATAGGAGCTACAATTGATATTACATATGTACTTCACCAATGTGGGACAATAAACTACTATTTACACTTTAACTAATATATAACTCGTAACATGCTTGATATGGGGAATTCATCACATGTAGCCCAAAACCAAGATCTGCATAACCACATCAAAGCATTCAAAATAGCAATTGGGTCCATCACTTTGTACTCCAATCTAGTAATGAAGAGGTCATAGGTTCGATTTTGGCTAAAAGGCGAATTTAAACATCATTATTAACTCATTGTGAAGTTAAGCCCAAACCTTTTTCATTAGTGTATATAATATTGTTTGTTAAAAAAAATAGCAATTGGGCCTAGATGGCGTTTTACTAGTAACAGAAAGTGATCATATCTATGCACTCTAGTGAAAGTTCGATTTCAATCGATCTCCTTTCCCATAAAAACTAACAATTTAATTCCCTAAATGTATCATTTGTATTTAAAAAAAAAAAAAAAAAGCTAAAAAAGGGGGCCTGTTTACTTGTCCTGTTTTTGTACAAAGTTGAGAAAATCTTATCCGAATACAGCTGTTCTATGCAAAAACACACTCACAAGGGATGAGGTGTCGTGGCATCCTAATGACTAAGGTCCGATTCTCTTATGAGTAGCGTCCCTCATTTGATAGGCTCGGATAAATCTTTTTTTCGAATACAAGAGTAATTGTTTTTTTTTTAACAAAAAATATTATTTATAATCAAGAATGAAAAAAAAATTTCTAAGTCATACAATGAATTAGTAAGAATATGGTTCTTCAAATTTAACAAGAATCGAATCTATAACTTTACACTTATAAGTAAAGATGAATACTGTTAAATCGTAGTATTAAATAACAAGAGTAATTGTTATTAACCACTTAATAAGATGTTACCCGCCTTCGTCATCTTTAGAATTTTTTTTTCTTTGTTTGTCTAAGAAGTAACAAAATGGAATAAATACCAATTAGCCTATTTTTTTAAGGAACTTTAACAAAAAAACTCACGATACTGTTTATTTTAACAAAAAATTACATTTTTACACTAAAAAAATTATTTTTGGTACTATTTACTTTACCTTTTATTTTATCATTTTCTTTAAAATTCAAAATTTTCAATTATTTTTC